CAAGGCCCTGGCTGCGCGCAGCGAAGCTTTAGAAGGTAGAAGAAAGTGACCTCACATCACCTGAATCCTGGGGGCCCCGCCCCCGCCCAGAGCCCCTTGCGGCCCGGCGGCGCCCCCTGCTGGTGCAGTCGCCAGCTGCGCGCCTGCCTGGCTCCGAGTCTGGGTGCCCGCTGCCCCCAGTCTCCTGGGAATTGCCCTCGTTCAGAAAGAGCCACACGCAATACTTCCCACACACCCCGATTTCAGGTCTCAAGAGCAAGGCCAGTTTCAGACGCGCCCTCCACCTCTCTGAAGGGGAGGACGGGCGCCAGGGGCTGCAGACGAAGCACGCGGCCTCTCCGCCTGACCTGCCTGCCCCACGTCTGACCCTGCTGCGCTCCGGCCCCACAGGCCCCAGAGGGAACAAAGCCTGGAAGGAAACCCAACACGGCCACAGCAGGGCCGCCCTGGGGGCGAGGGGGCGCTGAGAGGATCAAGCCACCGCTCCGGGCGGGAGAGACCCCAGGGCGCAGCAGGCCCCGCCTGTGCCCCACTGCCCCTCAGCAGTGGGTTGCAGTGGACCCCCCTGCTCCGCCCCCCACTCTGTCTCTGGGGAGTCTTCACTCCCCACACCTCCGGCCTGCACCCCCGTTCTCGTACGCGTAAATGGGTCAGTCTTCAAAAAGAAACGACCAATAGACTGACTAGAAGGCCATGGCCCTTTCAGAGAAAAGAAGGGGCCTGGTCTCTCATCAAGCGCACGAAGCAAGCCCAGAGGGTCGCGGGGCCTCTTAAGGCGGAGTCCAGGTGCCGCTGTTGACAGCGTGCTGGGGTACGGCCCCCACGCGCTGGCCACTCGAGGACGGAAGCCCAGGGGAGGCTCGGGCAGGGCGAGCTCAGCCGCCAGAAAGCTGTGGGGAGCACGGGCTTCCCGCTGGTGACCCTCGGCCAGACCTTGCCGCGAGGAAGCTGAGGGCACGGGCCTGGGGGCTCGTCCTGGGCAGGGCGGCAGCGGGGATGGCGCAGTGTCCCGCGGCCACCCTGGGTGGGCGTGGCGCGGCCAGGGCCCAGGGCTGGCCTCGAGCCCATTCATGGCGAGCCGCAGAGGGCCGCTCGCTGGCTCATGCCCGAACGCTGTTCTCGTGGAAACGGCGATTTCCTCAGCTCGAGACTTCAGAGCAGCTCATGGCCGACACCGGCACACCCCACAGTCTCCCCTCAAACAGCCTCTCGGTCCTGGCACAGGAACGTCAGTCTTGTGATCGTTGTCTCTAGCTCACGGCAGAAACAACACACGCTAACTGCTGGGAAGCAGCCGCAGCCTCGGGTGTCTACTGCACGACCGGCGGGCAGCTCCGACACCGGCTCAGGAAGATGGTCAGTCGCAAACTGGCCCTTCCGCTCGCGGCTCGGAGTCAGGCTGCCCACTCTGGCTCCGGCTGAGCCGTGCACCCACGACGCCCCGCCTCCCTCCCAGGCACCTGCGTGTCTACCGCCGCCTCCCACCCGCGCCCCACCCGGCCAGCGACGACCGGACCAGCCTCTGGGGCGCTAGTGCAGAGACACCGTGAACCCCAGCTTCCCTAAGAGCAACATGCTCGCAGACGGTGCAGGAAGGGAAGGAAGGGTCAAAACCCTGCGCAAGGCGCCCAGCCCCGCGGACACCCTGCCACTCCGGAAGCACGGCAGGGCCAGCAGTGCCCGTCCCACTGCCCTGTGGGTCAGCACCCAGCGGACAGCCCCAGGGGACCTAGAGGGAGGAGCAAGCGCCCTGGAGCCTGACGGCGCCTCTGGCCCTCTGAGGAGGGAGTGGCCGGTGCTAACACCTGCGGGGGCGGGAGCAGAGCCGCCGGTGGGCGGGCCGAGGCTGGGAACCAGGGCGCCCGGGAAGCGGCCTCCACCACCGCGGGTGAAGCAGCCCGAGCTGAGGCGAGGAGCTGCGCGGTGGCCGCCACCAAGCCGCACCGCGCAGGGCACAGGGCACACGCCGGCCTTGCAGCGCCGTGGTCACCTTGCCACCAAGTGACCAATGGACTCGGCGCTGCGCCTGGTCCAAAGGGCCCCATCTGGCCGGCGGCGGGGCTCGGACTCTCGGAGCCGGCCGGGGCGGGACCCGGGCGCAGAGGGCACGCCGAGCCCAGGCACCTCCCAGATGTTCCCTCCTGGACGGACAGGTCTGCTCCGCTGGCCCGCCC